TAATATTAATTTCCGAAGCTTGAATTCTGATCTCTTGTTTATTTGTAATTATATTTCTAAATAACACATGATCTTCTAAGAAATGCATTTTCCAGGACAAATTTGACGTAACAAAGCAAATATTCTTACGTCACAATTTCATATGACGCATTTTCCCCCAAATGATCCCAGGTCAACCGGGGCAATTCATTCATAAAACAATATTGGAAAGTCGTCTACATTAAACAATTTAACTATTATATTGTAGATCCATTTATGAATTATTTTGATCAAAATGAATACCTCAAAATAGAATGTGTTTTTTTTTAATGAATAATAACAATTTATTCTCTGGTTTGAACTTCATCGTCTTAAAATGCAAGTATAAATTTAAAAAAAAATTAAAAGAGCTCGTTGCTGCTTTATGATTACATCATATAGTGCAATTAACTGGCTGTTTCTATATTGGCCTCGAAGAATCGGTGGTGAAATATTTTCAATTTCGCAAGATTCACTTTCAAATATAAGTATGCTAACGGTATTGAGAAGTTTGTGTAATTGAAAACTTTAGAATGGAATCAAATTTGACAAATCGAACGTTTCCATGTAAAACTTGTGAGTAGTTTGTATAGTATTGAAGAAACCACAAATCTGCGTTGCCAATCGTCCGTTGCGACAATTGAAAGTCATTATTGACCTAGCGAACAGCCAATGAAAATGTCGCAATTTCGTTACACACTGCAGGAAAAGGCCAACAAAATTAACACATTTTTTTTCGTATCACTTATTCATACCACACTCCGTACAGTGCGATACTAGAAACACTGCAACCATAAAAAAAAATGACAGCCCACAATCATATGAGAATCAGAAATAACAACTAAATAAATAGCGATGAACTCTTTCTTTTCAGATGCCAGAAACTTTGTCCAGAATTTGCGTGACAAGACTGAAACATTTAGCCTTTTGAGAAAATTGCACTATCAACCAATGGGTTTAGCTTTCATCAGTTTTCCCCTCGATATCTGCTGCATGAAATCTAATAGTAATAAAATTCATACTTCGACGTATTATTATATGGTGTAATTGCAGCGCTTATTAAAAACAATTTCAGGGATTATGGCAATTGCAACGAATTCAAATAAAAGCCTCTTGTCGTTTACTATATACACATTTGGCTTTTATAAAGGATATGTCATGAGTCAGTCAAATATAAATAAAATCATGAAAACTACGATTTTTAGGTTTAAGATTAAGCTGCACGGTTACAACATTACGTGACTTCCGTCATGTAACGTGCAAAATAAGTGCTCCGATAATAACAGTAGGATTTATACAAATAGTTTGGAAGAATACATATAGCCATATATTTATTATTAATTTTTTACCGGTATTAGAAATTTAAAAAAATAACAGAAACTTTAATGTAAAATATACTCCTTTATTAACTTCTGCGTATTTTAAACGAATATATATAAACAATTATACTTATAAGAATAATCAGTTTAGATATCCTCATCTACTCGCCTATTCAAATGCGGAAAATATTAAAACTGCACAACTTATTTTGTTATTTTATTGATATACTAAAAGAAAGAACAAGAGAAAGGCTAACAAAAATTATATGATAAAGTTGATGATTTCAGTGATTTCTGTCTTTAAAAAAACCCTTCTGCATGGAACTTAACGGTTTTAATTCGGTTAAACAGTCTCAGCAAAATAGATTTGATTAAGCTAATAAAAACAAAATGTCTATTAAAACATACGAACTTTTCTTTCAATTATATTTCTTGTATATGATTCATAAAAAAATATTAAAACGAGAATTATTTATAATTTACAAATGTGGATTAAGAGGGTCCTGCTCCATTATAGAACAAACGTTTGGGTTTCTTGTACATTTATTACATTTACGACAGAACTCAACACCTTCTATTAGGGTCACCGACAAAATCTGCATGCAACCTTTTAAAAACCCCTAATGCAAAATTTCTTTTTTCTTTTTTAAAACAAATCAAAATTATTGATACCCTTACTGGTAGCAGCATACATATAGAAAGATTGGTCACACATAATTTATTTTGATACGTGTACGAGATCTCCAACAAGAACGATATACACAAAATGAGAGATACAGACTTTGCATAGTTCGAGATGCTTTTCCTAAATGATTTTAATCAGATATGCTCAGAGCAAAAACTTGGAAAGTCAAAAGGAGATAAATATATCTGGAGCTGTACCGCCAGAACAAGGGCCTATATAGAGAAGTTCGGTCATGTTCAATTTTTGAAGATCTTATCTTGCTGATTATTTTTTATTACAGTTTCTCTTAGTCAAAAGCATCTTGTATAAACTTTGACTGGAGGAGTTTTAACTTTATGGTGTAAACAATACAAACTAATCGGCTGTAAATTTATACAAAACACAATTTAGACAAGTAAAATCTGAGCAAAACAAAACCCATCTAAAACCAGGGATGAAATCAGGTGCTCCGGAAGGGTCAGCCGTTTCTGCTCCATAATGATACCCGTCGTGTTACTCCTATTTTAAGCCGTTAATGAAATAACACCGGTCACACATGTAAACATCACACAATATCGAATTGGTTAATGTAATTTGCGTAACCCATTAATCCGCAAACCTGGTAGAATCCGAAAAAGGACACATAATGCTCAGTGACTGTGTATTTCAGTAGATTTTTTAGGTACAATTAATTTGCTTAAAGAGATGTTACTAAATCAGTATCATATTATTATCATCCTTATTGAACTGACTATCTACTGGTCGAGACATACAAAATGTACATGTATATACAATCTTGAAAAGGAAAAATCACACATTTTGAATGACTTATAGAAATAAGAAGATGTGGTATGATTGTCAATCAGACAACTCTCCACCAGAGACCAATTTACGTAGAAGTTAACAAATATAGGTAACCGTACGGCCTTTTCTAACATATTACTCGGACTACTGTAACGGTTTTACTGTGCGAATTGATGTGTGTTTGTTTATTCCACATTGGCTAGAGGTAAAGGGGAGGGTTGAGATCTCGCATAACAAGTTTCACCCCGCCGCAGTTTTGCGCCTGTCCAAAGTCAGGAACCTCTAGCCTTTGTTAGTCTTGTGTGATTTTTTTTTTATTTTGGTTCATTTGTATGTTTCGGAGTTTAGTGTGACGTCCATTTCGCTGAACTAGTATACATGATTGTGTTTGTACCTGCTGAAGCCCGCCTCCGGCTGCGGGATTTTCTCGTTGCGTTGAAGACCCATTGGTGGCCTTGGGCTGTTTTCTTTTCTTTGGTAGGATTGTTGCCTATTTGACACATTCCCCGTTTCCATTCTCTATTCTATATTATACATTTCTGTAATGTCAAAAGAGAAGTCATAGAGTATTACTGTTCCATGTGATAACAGAAGTGCTTCATACGTGCGCACTCACGTATTTATAAAAGCTTCATAAATCAGATAAATCCGATTCATTAAAATTAGATTAGGAAGCTGTTATCAGTGTTTTCAGTAAGAGTTCGAATAGGTGGAATATCTTAAGAATAGGAGGCAAAATAATTTCGGCGAATTGTCTGGTCAACCCGCCCCTACCCCCTTTGGCCAAAAAGAGATGTCATCTATTTAGAAATCATTTTGGAAGTCTACCAGTCCCATAAATAACCTTTTGTCTGCGTTTTTTTTCTTTCTTATATTAAATTATTTTTGTCTGGTTGTAGTCCTATCTCAATGCACAGTTGAATAATTCAGCACGGTTTCCTGCACATTTTACCATACCAGTCTGACTGAAAATTCCCAATGGTTGTAATTGAAAGCAGAAGATCTGAAAGATTCCAGAGTAACAACTGTTTTACATGTTTCAAATAAAACTAATAAAAAATGTATTATAAACAATAATTGAATATTGACTGCATAATTTTAATTCCGAATTAATCCTTTGTTGACAACTGTTATATTTGGTATAAAACTAAGATAATTATACCAGCTAATGAGAACAATAGGATATTTGCTATTTATAAGCAAGCTAGAGGTAAAAAAAAAGACTTTGTAAATGGAGGTATACAATTGAATACCAAATCATATAACATAAATATATCGGTTGTTTGCCGATCAATTCCATAATTAAGAAAATGTACAATTCCTATAGCAGTTTATGGTGTTGTCTTTGCTTATATCTAAATATGAATGACAAGATATGAAAATGAGGCTGTTTTTGCTGTTTTGCGCTAAATGCAAGACGTCGGAAGCCCTTTTTCAAATATGTCGGACAACATAAAAACTAAATATTCCTGTTTAAAAGGTTTGGTTGATTTATAATAATTTTGATCGAAATCAAGTGGCTAAAACTAGCCTTATTATACCTTCTCTGTTGGACAATGGACGTCTCAAAACTACATTGATGAAAAAATCAAAACTATTAAAATGCTTACACTACATATCTTTGTTTCTAATGTCTGTTAGCAGTTATACGACCTCCAGTTTACACGTGATTGTTTAATATAATTACAATCTATTGGACTATCTTAAACCAAAGTTAACTAATTGTTAAGTCTATCTTGTATCTCTAGACATCCATTTCTTCACTTGAAAGTTAGTCTACATGTTTTTAAGGATAATATCTTGCAGCCTTAGAAGTTATTTCAAACGGTAAGCTATCTGCATCAGACAGGGGTTGGCTGGATCAAACATTTAGGGGAGAGAAAGGGGGGGGGGGGTAATTAAATTATTATCCATGGGATGAGGTGCTACATTTGTAAAATATGCATCTGTTTATGTGTTTCTTCTATATAAGGTGGTACATAAAGATGAGTATATGATAAGGTTTATATAATTTACATTACTGTTTATGTGTTTTAATAACCAATATATAATATATAATAAGGTATGCATGTTCTTGATTTATAATGAATGAAAGTGTTAGATACTATACTTGTCTTACCTTGTTTTTTTCGGTGAATTTATCAACTCGGATAAAATCCCTTGTTTAACTATCCATGTATTTAGTTGTTTTAATTATGGATAGTAAAATAAGAGATTGTACACGAATTGATAAAGGTAAGACTATATTTAGTGCAAACATAAAAAAAATCCTGTACCCAAGCGCCTATCAACGTGTAAAAAATAATATTCATTTTTAACAAAATTATCATATTAAATTGAAATAATAAATAAATAGAATGACGGATGGATTTTGATGAGCTAGAAATATTCAGCAACACGCGTTTACCTGATGCAAAATATTTAGATAGATGAATTATTATTTAATGTTGACTGCGTTTAGCGTGTTTGTTATATCAATGCTTACACATGAATTCTTTCGGTAGTATCGCCAATTTATTTCTTCTGCTACATTTGTACTATTATGGGTGACTTATACTGCTATCACTAAAATTGATAAGTATTGTCATAATGATAACCTTTATTACATGCATATATTTCCGTTTCTATGGAAAATATCTATATTAATAACTAAAAAAAAATCAAATTACAGATTGATTAACCTGAATACATGTACAAATATACATATATATATATATATATAAAAATCAAATTACATATATATTTGTACATGTATTCAGGTTAATCAATCTGTAATTTGATTTTTTTTAGTTATAAATATATATATATATTTGTACATGTATTCAGGTTAATCAATCTGTAATTTGATTTTTTTTAGTTATTAATATAGATATTTACCATAGAAACGGAAATGAAAAACACGAAATGGTATACTGTAGACAGAGAGTTACTGCAGGTCAAGGGGTTTTATCTTTTTACATTTGCAGCTAAACCACATGTCTTTAAAACATTCTTAAATTACGATAGAAAGATTAAAACAACCTCAACTAACAATGAAACAGCTATTCAATGGAACCTATTATCGTCATAAAAACATTGATGCTGATTGCTCGAACTACTCCCTTTTCATTATTGTCTTTTCTTTCGCAGACGAAAACACATGAAGGCGCTTGGTCGATTTTTATTTCAAAATATTTCAAGGTCGTTTGCAAATAGGATTTACACCATAAAACTTATTTCAATTTTCCAAATGGGGATTTTATTTCAAAAGTATTAAGATTGCAGCAGCATATTATGTATCTTTGAAAGCGACAATACTTGTATTTCTTTTATATAAGATTCATGTAAACGTAGATGCTATCAAGATAAGAGTTTGTTACGGTAAATTATTAGTCAACACTTTGGAAAATATCAAATATTTAACATCATACGCGATATGATTTGACATGATGTTACGCAAAATTTATGTTCAAGATAACAACAAATATTCTTCATTTGTTGAAGCATTTTTTTTGTATGGGTATGTACTTACATGAGTAACACGAAGATGCCACACGAGGAGCAGGATCTGCTTTCCCTTCCGCAGCATCTGAGGGTGCTATAAACAGTTTCGTATAAAAAACTAGGGGTTATTCCCCGACTAAAAATAACCATGGAGGGAAATCCCTTTTTATCCATATAATTGGTGAAAAAGTATCATGTTTTTTGTATTTGATTGTATAAATTAGTTAATTAGCTTTCAATTTAAACAGGTTAAATGATTCAAAATAATTTTAAAAATTAGATTAAATATTCATGTTTTGAGGGGAGACAACACTGTAAACATCCTGTTGTTTTGGCAGTGAAAATTGAAAACTTATTTGCAGCCACTGTAGCTCTTTTCGAAGCAGGAAACCGTACCCTGAAACATGATTTTTATTAAAGGCCAGGTAAAAACCTATGAATTTCATACAGTTTTGATTATGGGAAATGTGCCTGTATCATGTTTACATGGGTATGCACATGAGCTGATTTCAGGTTTTTTATGTTCAGATTAGGCAACTTTTTCCCCATTTTCTCTGGATAGAACTTTTTTACTATACTAAAAGTACACTATATTTTTATTTCAATATAAACTAGAGACAATTTTAATTCCAGTGATATTTAGTTTTATACAAGTATCTTTATTAACCATTCCACCACTAAGGGTCACTTAGACATGGTCCCTTAAAATATGACGTCATAGAAAAAAACTGTTGATTGCACCCTGAGACCATCCCCGGTTTTGATGGGGTTCGTGTTGCTCACTCTTTAGTTTTATATGTTGTGGTTTGTGTAACAGTGATATAATAACACTGTCGAGGTTCAGGACAATGAACTATAAGCTACCGATCGAAAATGGTAGATGGCAAATCATACCACGAGAACAGAGAAAGTGTCCATTGTGCAGAGTTTCTATCGGTGATGAATACCACTATTTAATGGAATGCAAGAGTCTAATGACAGATAGAAAACAACTAATTGACAGGAAATACTTATCGAACTGTAACGTTTTAAAATTTACAGCTATCATAAATCAAAAACAGCAATCAAAACTTCGAAAATTGTTCCAATTTATTAGAATTATAAATGACAAACTGGATTCTCTCTGATGTTAACCTGTCGGCTGTGCTGCTCCTGATACCGTTACATGTATAATGTAACTCATATTTATGTTTCCTCAACAAATGTACAACGCAATGTAATGTAAAATAATATGTTTTTCTGCATACCTTTGTTCAACTTAGGTGATACATGTACCAGAATAAAATGAAATATATATATATTGTACTGTTGTTTATTTTTTTATTCATTTTGCGTATTTGTCAAAGGCTTTGTCAGTTGGTGTCGACTTAATATGTGTTTGATTATTCCATTGGTATCTTTCGTTACTATTTTCAATTCGAAATATTTAATCACCGATTTCCATATTTAATTTGCAATATGTCGGGTTTCCCAGTGCGGCAAGCACTGCTTATTTTTACTTCAACGTAAAACCGGTCAAAATCATGACAGCTTCTGCGTATACCAAGTCAGGTCAGGCTTAAAGAAATAAACACTTTTTAAATTGTGTGTGTCCGAAGCACTTTTATAGATTTACCTCTATCAGGGACGCTCAAATCTAAATATTTGAAAGTAAGGGATTCGTACAAATGCTGCAACAGGCTAACTGGACTAAGTGTTGTTCGATGATTGATTAATTGATTGTTGTTTGTTTAATGTCCGGTGGCAAATATTTCATGTATGTTCAGGACTATTTTGTTCGATGTTGTTTGTCTTCTTTTGTACATCTAGGTCGAGGTGTTGGGTTTAGTTGTTTTGTTGTACTGTCCAATATTTCTAATATTTTTGTTATCTTTTTTATGTATTAATAAATGCTTCGATAGAACCTGATCACACCATGACTCTGTGTTTTGGTTTTTACGCCTTTATGGCTTTTTTAAATTCATAATTTGCATATCTATTCAATAATTATTATTTGTTTGTTTTTGCTCTAGTGATATATGTAATATTATTAGTATCTTCCAATGTCAGTTTTGTGTGGATGCACAACCACATTGTGACGTCGTCCGTTTGTCTTGGTCGTCTCTTTTTCGTCTTGTTCTTGTGTATTGTAACCATAAACCCTAATGTTACAATAGAAATAAGCTTATATTTCTGCTGGGTTATGTATTGACATGGTGTTTTTTCTTCGTGCTGGAAATATTTATTTTAATCTGCATTTAATCGTAATAATGAAAGATTGAAAAAGAGAGCTTTTGTATGGGTCAACACTTATTACTTTTATATCTAATGTCAGTTTATTTTCTCTTGCAGCTATCGGAAGTCTTTTTCCTTATATTTCCCTGTATATGAAGGCGTTGGGACTTTCCGAAATACAGGTTGGTATTATATTCGGAATACAACTTTTTTTAGCATTTATTATACAACCTTTTGTTGGGGCTGTCGCTGACAAATATAATGCTCATAAAGTAAAGTCTCACATTCTGTTGTATTTTTACTGGACTATTCTACAACGGAATTACATTCATTCCAACATCATTGAACAAGTTCACGTCTGTTCAAACAGAGATGATCTGCGACCCTTTTGGAATACACATCAACGACTCTCTGAATAATAACACGACGTCATGTCCTTTAACATTTACTATGTTTTTGAAGAAATCATTAGACAAGTCCAATTATTCGTTCAATAATTTTTTGCAATCTGACCTTTTTCGAGGAAGTGAATCTGAAATCGAATGCAGATCAAAATGCATTAGTAAAGACTTCATATATTCACGGAAAGTTTGTTTGTCAAGCAATTCTTCTGACATGTTTGATTGTACAAATACTATGGAAACTAACACAACAGCACGACAATTCGAATTTAATCTAATACAATTACAAAGCATTAAACTTACGTACGATATTATAGATCTGAATATGCATTTTTCACACCGATTATACAGATACATGCACTGTCAGCGGATGATTACAATGAGGTGTGCATTAGTACCGATTCGTGCATACAAACCGAGACAAATAAATTGAGTTTGATGTGGCTTTTCATTTTTATTATTCTTGCATTGCTAGGACACATGGCATATGCTCCAATTTAAGTTTATTTGATGCAGTAGTTTACCATGTTCTCGGGAGTGAGGAAAGGCATACATATTGTAAACATAGACTTTGGGCAAACATTAGTTTAGCTTTGTTTGCAGTATTATCTGGATACGTAATAGATAATGTGAAAGCCGACACCGAGGCCGATCGATTTCATATTTCCTTCTATATTTACGGGATTTTTCTACTCATTTTGTCTTGCATAACGTTTGTTGTAAAAATTGAAAATGTCAAGCCAAATGGAAGCGTATTTAGAGTTATGGTTAGAATGTTACATGACATACGAATTTTAGTATTTTTAGTTGTTGTTGCAGTTTCAGGTTTCTTTTCCGGGAGTATTGAAGCATTTTTTATTCTGGTTTCTTGAAGCCGAGCTTAATAATAATTTGAAAATTATTCCAGGATTGTGTATGCTTTCGAACTGTTTGTCAGAAATTTTAATCTTTTACTTCGCTGGACGTATTATAAAGACTATCGGTTATCTAAACAGTTTGTACATAGCATGCTTTGCATATGTTGTACGTTTTATATTGTACTCGTTTCTCACGAATGTTTGGTTCGTACTTCCAATCGAGCTTCTGAATGGTATAACCTTTAGTTTGATGTAGACAGCAGTGACATCATATGGTAATATAATAGCACCACGTGGAATGTCTGGAACAATTCAGGGACTTCTCCATGGACTTCACTATGGTTTCGGTAAGCATTTACATTGACACATTTCATGGTTAAAAGCAGTTAAAGTATTTAGTTTTTCTATTAAACGTAAATTAGAGTTCCTTGCTATTGAATATGATCAAATATGGTACAGAGTCAAACGTCCAGACCTAGATTACTTAAGAATCTACTCCGAACTTCGTACAGGACAGTGATATATATGTAGATCGCTGTTTGCTGCTTTTGTGCTATCCTATCCTAATGGCCTTGGACCACAAGAAAGGTTTGCCTCAAACAAAGAGCCCTATACGTTTTAATGAAACAAATAAGGGTATGTGATGTGATAACACATAAGACAAATATCCATCAAAGGTCAAAGAAGAAAAATGTAGACAACAACAGATGACCTTACGGCCTACAACGAGCATAATCCTTCACTCCTAGTAAGCTATAAAATGCATCGGGAAAAGAAGATGTAAAACAATCCAAAAAAAGGAAAGAAAAAAAAAACAACCAGCTGATTAACATTAATGATTTTAACCTAAAAGCAGTTATGGCAGACAACAACTAACGTCACTGACTGGACTGCAGGACACTGGTTTGGGACAGGCACATATGGAAATATGTATTTTAAGTAAAGGAATTGGAAGTTTAATGACTGGTGAACTGTATACAGTGATGGACATTCCGATCATTATATAAATAACACATAGCTGAGAGGGTGATAGAGCAGATTGTTACCCCGAGAAAACATTGTCAACCGCGGCGAAGCCAAGGTTGACAATGCTTTTTCGAGGGGTATCAGTCTGCTCTATCACCCTCTCAGCTATGTGTTATTTAATTCATTATACTGAAAGTCCTATCATTATTGTCTTTTACAGATGCATTTAATTTAAAAGTATTTTCTATGACGTTACGTACATAACAACGTTACGGGTATTAGAAAAATCAACAGAAGTGAAGCAAGATGTTTTATTTTTTTATTTTGACAGTCAAATAATAGAATCTGAGCCAAAACGTAGATCTTAAGCATTGTCTTTAATAACTTGATGTAAGTTCAATTCATTGTCCTTTAAATTATCGATTTTTGATTGGTCTGGACGAGAGGGTGACATTCAAAAAAATTGTCACCCGCTCAGCCATGTGATAGAGTAAATTAACACTCTCGTATTAGCCAATCAAAATATGGCATTTTAACGTGAAGTATAATAAATGGACTTGTTTCACTAGGCTTACTTGTACTTTACTCAACATTGAACAAAACCATATTGAAAAAGACAAAATGCTATGATGAAACTAATTATGTCGAGGGTATGATTTTAATTTGAATACATAAATAAAATAAAAATTGTAAAGTTGACAATTACTTTGTAAATTTTACTTATTTTTCCCAAGCAAATATCTTACGATATATTATATAAAGAGATGTGGTTTGATTGCTTATGAGATAACTATCCATAAAGACCCAAGGACAAAGATGTGCACCATACGGCCTTCAACAATGAGCGAAACCCATACTGTATATTACGCTTTGAAAGGTTCCGTTATATCAAAATGTAAAACATTTCAAAAGAACAAAAGAGAAAACCAAAAAATTAGTAAAATTACAACAATGAACAAAATACAAATTATACTAGTACGGCAAGACAGCAACAAACGGCAACCAATGGCTTACAGGTTCCTGGCATGGGACAGGCACATATGAAATGATAATGTGTCGGATTTTAATATGTTTTAAGAGTTTATTTCAATATCTCAGACATTTCTATGTACATTTTTGGTAAGTCCCGTTTTCCATTAATGTATCATACTCGCACTTCACGTAAGACGCGCTATAAAACTATGCATTTAAGGTCGTTGCTTATTTGCTTTTACTATATGTACCCGGCATAAATCAACTATTGCCAAAAATACCGTACAGTACAACAAATCACAGAACAAAAAAGATATACAGAACAAAAACAAACAAAAATGAACAACATTTGGTACTGATATATTTGCCTGGGTACAGGCACAAAATCAGATGGGGTTTAATCATTTTTACGTGCGTATAGACACCAACCCTCACACCCATGGCCTATCTAGACCGTACAATGTGTTTCGTAAAAATGAAATTAAACTAACGATAAAATAAAACACCGGTGTGATATAGCCATTTTCCCCCACCACAATTTTCCCCTGAGGAAAAAAAAACTAGCATGAATTAACTTTTCTCCAAGGGAAATTTTGGATCATTGCCATCCCCCCCTCCCCCCCCCCCCCCCTTTGCGGAAAGTTGGCAATACGTATACATATAGCCACTTTCCCCCATGCCCATATTTCCCTCTACAATATATAACCATCAAAATTGTCTGTTTTTCGGCTTGACTTGCATAGAAGAAATGTTTGGTACAAATTGTGTTCGTTTTGTCTCATTTAAAAGGTTTAGGGTCAGGGAGTGGATGTGGGACACCTATATTTTGTTACAGGGGTGCAACTTGCATTCGAAAAAACACCCCCATTCATATGCAACACGCAAACAAGATATTAATTGATTTCTGTAAATCCAATGCGATGGAACCAAACCTCAATAAGCAGTCATATCCGAGCGGTCTCGAAACATATAAAGAAATCATATCAAAGGGCACATCAAACATTCCTACACCAATTATTACGATCCGACAAAATTCTTTCTTCATGTGGGCTTCATTGAACTAGAACATGGGTTGGTCATTGTGACCTACGACCTACTATAGAAAGCCACGTTACACATACCAAGGGTTCACGGAGGAGGTCACTACATCAGACTATGCTTCACACAAGTTTAAATAAATCATCTGATATTGAATGTATATTGATACGATGATGGTGTGGTAATGCTAAAATAATTAAAAGAACTTACTATCCTTTAATGAATAATTAATTTCCAACTGACGTCGCCGATGTTACTACAAGAGGGGGAAATGAGCTTCTCGTGCTACTAAAGGGGAAAACTATGCCTGATTCTGGATTTCCCCCCTCACGCTGAGAGGGGAAAACTGGAATCATGCCAATCCTTCCCGGAGGAAAAAACTGGATCGATCCAGTTTCCCCCCGGAAAGATTGGCATAGGGAAAATGGTTATAGGACACCGGCACTGTGCACTACCACCAGAATCACCGCCACCTTAAAGGGGTAGACCTGGGGTATGGGAGACAACTCTTACAAAGGTATTGGAAGTCATTTGTGCGTTTCAACCTAGCGATAATTGAAACAGTGAACAAGTATTTATGGTGTTTACATTTGATTATGAGAATGTCCATGATGCAGGAGCATCAAAGAAAATTGTACAATGTTCACTCTACCAAGCATCAAATCAAGGAATTACATTTTTATTCAAAGATTCAAAAATCAAAATCTGAAAAGGTAGAAAATTAACATTGAATTTCATACATGAAATGCTTTACAAATAAATGTAATGAGAAGATTTCGGAATGACTCTTGACATCATTTAGATAAAATCTTGGAAGGTTTGGGAAAAATTGAGTTGAATGAAAATGTATAATTGAATAATAAAGTTATAAGGTTTCAGTGATAAATTATTGGTTAATAGGATGAACTTAACTGTATGTCTTTAGTTTTCAAATACAAACAGCAATATTCTAGAAGATATGATCTGAACATCCATCCTAGTACAAGCTAAATCAAATGCTCACATATAATCTACATTAGCACAAAGATAGTACTTAGATAGTGACAGACTATCAAAATGTTAAATTTAACGTCTGCTTACATGAGCATTTTATAGTCTATGGGAGTTTAACCAACATTACGTATTATAATACTGAATGTTGCTGCTTTTCATTATAAACTTGACTTCAGTTATTATTGGGACCATCCAGTTCTCACATATGCACACAAAAATAATTCAAAAAGAAACTGTAGAAGGTTTATAGAAAGAAAAAGAAATTTTGTCAATAACAAAAAATTCTTTTTCTTAGGTCTGTTAGCCAAATTCTTTGAAGATTTGTTAAATTTCAAACGGTCAAATCCAATAAAAGTTTGTGATTTTCAAGGTTAATAAACAATAACTGTTTCATCATTTTTTTGCGGAATTAAACAATACTTTTTTCTCAGAAAAGTTTTAAAAAATAAATGTGTTATCTGAGCTGCCCAAAATTTTGACCTATTCCATAATTTTAAACAAATTATTTACATTCAGGGTATACATATTACCATGAAATTTTCAGATTTAGTTTTAGATATGTTTCTAGTACGCATCTTTATAGTCATGAGTATTCCTAATGAAAACATGTGCACAAACTAAGAGATAATTTATTCATGTCATGCTCAGTCTATGCTCATTTTATAATGCGAAAAACTATATTTGTCGACATTTTACTTCGAGCGGTGGCGAAGTTGATCAAATATAATGCATACTCATGTTAAAGTGAGCATAGAGCATAGAGCATGACATGAAAGAATTATTTCGATTCTAACAGGGAAAAATGTTTTTTATCGATCGAGGCATACGAAAATGCCTTAGGAATGTTTCCCGATTTATATAGAGTGCCAATGAGACAACTATCCATCCAAGTCACAATGTGTAAAAAGTAAACAATTATAGGTCAAAGTACGGCCTTCAACACGGAGCCTTGGCTCACACCAAACAGCAAGCTATAAAGGGCCCCAAAATGACTAGTGTAAAACAATTCAAACAGGAAAACCAACGGTCTAATCTATATAGAAAACGAGAAACGAGAAACACTTATGAATCACACCAACAAACGACATCCACTGAACAACAGGCTCCTGACTTAGGACATGTGCATAAAAATGCAGCGGGTTAAAACGTTTTAACAGGCGCCAACCTTCACCCTAACCTGAAACAGTGGTATAATATTACAACATAAGAATTAAAGACACACAATACAATATCAATTGAAATGGCTAAACTCGATCAAAAAGACAAAACACAAAAACAAGTAAATATACACTGAACGAATAAGTTTGATATATGACACAATATTAATAAAAAAAGATGTTTCAATGTCAAAATGACAACTTTCACCTAGGACAAAATGGCGTTAAATAAAGTAAC